GTAGAGGGACAGGCCCGACTTAAGCGTGGCGCCTACTCCCGCTGCAGCGGCGACAGCCCAATCGGCGAAGGACCCCGACTTGCTGCGCCAGGCCCACAGGGCCCGCAATGCTGATCGCTCAGCCGCGCAGGTGGCTCCTCGGCTCGCGGCGACCTCGATTACATGTTCTTCCAGCCGTCTTTCTTGTCCTTCTTTAGAAGAAGAGAGAAGACATAAACAGAAACTTTTGGCGCTCCGCGCGAATTTCTTGGATTCGCGCTGGGCCCCCCTCCCTGGCGCGCGGAGCGCGCCAGGGGCGGCGCCGGAGGCGCCGCCGGGGGGGCCCAGGCGCGGACCCAAGACATCCGCGCGGAGCGCCAAAAGTGTATGTCTACGTGTTTTTCTTCTTCGATTCTTGTCCTTCTTGTCCCATTCCTTCTCAGAGCCGTACCTCCACGAAGACCTGCCAGACTCATCCTTCTGCTCTTCCTCTCGCGCTGTCCGCTCCCTGAGCTCCTCCAGTCGCCACCGCCGGCACTGCCAGCTTCTGTTGCTCTGCTCCACCGTGTCCTGTCTTCTTCCTCTCGGTCATTGCTTCTCTCGCTCTCCCTGCGGTCGTTGGATCAGTTCCAGCCCGCTTTTCCACCGTCCTTGTTCCATCACGTCTCCGCCTCCTCCGCCTCCTCCGCCTCCTCCGCCTCCTCCGCCTCCTCCGCCGCCTCCTCCTCCTTCTCCTCCTCCTCCTCCTCCTCCTCCTCCTCCTTCTCCTCCTCCTCCTCCTCCTCCCCCTCCTCCCCCTCCCAATCCCCTTGCGGAGCAGAAACAAGCAAGCCCGCTAAATATATACATGTATGGGTCTCCATCTCCCCCCCCCCCCCCGCTGCTGATTACCCACCTCTCTCTCCCCTTTCCCCTCCTCGTCCCGATGTTCGCCCTCCTGCTCTCCCCTTCCTCCTCCTTGCCTCCCTTCCGACCCCGTTGCCCCCCGCCTTTGTCCCTCCCTCCCTTCCTATTCCGCCCACGCCGCCGGCTCCGTCACAACGCCCCCGACCTTGAGGCCGCTCGAACCTTCTTGAGACGCCGCCCTGGCCACCTCTCGGGAGGAGGAAGAGGAGGAGGACGAGGAGCAGGACGAGGAGGACGAGGAGGACGAGGAGGAGGAGGAGGAGGAGGAGGTAGGAGGAGGAAGAGGAGGGAGGAGGTGGAGGAGGAGGAAGAGGAGGAGGTGGAGGAGGAGGAGGGGGAGGAAGAGGAGGAGGAGGAAGAGGAGGAGGAGGGGGAGGAGGAGGAGGTAGCAAAACACCCTCCAATGACAACGATCCCGGAGCCGACCCGCCAGGCGCAGGCCTGCCAACGCAGCGGACGCGACACCTTCCCGAGAGGCCCCCCAAAATGAAACTTCGCTGAAGTTCGACTCGGCAGGGCGAGGCCTCGTTTTGAGCCTGTGGCCGAGGCGCAGCTCGGGCCTCCTCCCCTCATCCTCATTCTGACCTCCCTCTGACGACGACGAACGTGACGGTGACGGTGACGGCGACAGTGACGGTGACAGTGACGGTGACGACGACGACGACGACGATGACCGACGACGACGACGACGCCGACGACGACGACGACGACGATGACCGACGACGACGACGACGACGACACCGACCGATCGACGCAGGGTTCCTGGGCCGGGAGCTGAACGCGGGCAGGCAGGCGGACTCTTGTGCCTCTGGCTGCGCAAGGCGCGCTGCGGAACGCTGCCGTCGCCGCCGTCGCCGTCGTCGCCGGCTCGCCGGCTTCTCAAAGAGGGTCAACAATGGGGGGCGCAAATTAAGCTGGAATCGGCGATACATCGCCGACAAATCGGCGATAGGCCGCCGGTAGCGAATGCGCAATTTCCTGAGCGGGGTTCGCCACCGTCTTTGAGGTCGTCGCCGTCGTCGCAGTCTTCACCGCTTCCACCGTCGTCACCGTCCTTCTCCTGTTTACCACGCTCGCCCGCTCGCCCGCACGCACGGGGAGGAGGCGCAGCAGGAAGAAGGGGAGAAATTAGGATCGAACATAAGTAGGCAAACCTTTGAAGCTTGTACGCTCGCTGCAGGACAGGTGATAGCCCGCCCACGCTGATGATGATCACTAATGCTGTGCATCTGGCCGCAATCATTGTCATGGGTTTCTCCAGTGGACCAGTATGGGTATTCGGCTGGATGCGCATGTGTGGGAGAGGGGTACAAAAGAATCCCCCCCGCCCTTTCGGGTGTGAGTGGTTGAGAGCGTTTCCACTGAACCCCACTCCTTCCCCTTCAGGGAGGGGGTTACCCCTCCCCCTCCCCCCTTCCCCTGGGTTTGGACGGGAGGGGGCAAGGGTCGTTAGAGTGTCCAAGAAGGCATCGACTAGAAGGCAAAGAACATTGATTTTACTAAGGTGTTGTGGCAATGTTGGCCTACTGCGGGGACGCGGCTAAATAAGTCCCCCCCCTTCGCTGACCGAACTCCTAAAAGATGGCCCCAATATGGCCCCCAAGGCCCACAAGAGTGCCCCCAGAGGGCCCAAAGAGGCGCCCAGGAGGCACCAAGAGGCGCCCGAGAGGTCCCCAAGATGCTCTCAAGAGACCCCCAACATGCCCTAGGAGGCTCCCCCGAGGCACCCAAGACGCTCCAAGAGGCCCTGGGACAGCCAAGAAGCCTCCAAGACATCCCAAGAGTACTTCGAGAAGCTCACAACAGACATCCCAAGAGAGGCATCCAAGAGAACTCTGGCCTGTCTGCTCGCCCGCCTCCTCCTCTTCGACAAATTCTTTTCCTTATGCAAAAGCTTCTCCCTGCCGCACTCGGAGGCCACTCAGAAGGGCGGGCCTGTCGTTTCCCTTGGGGCTCCCTGACCATTTATGAGCCTCAAGCTTCAAAGCTGGCAACAGTTTCACAAATGGAGGGCGGGTGGTGTTCCACATGTGGCTCTCACCTTAGCGCCGCGCACATTCGTTGTAAGACATTGCAAAGAGTTTTGACTGATTGAGGACAAGTGGCTTCCAAAATGTGGCTCTTGCCTTCGCGCAACGCACATTTGTTTAAAACGTTACATGGGCTTCACGTATTGAGGGCCGTTCCTTTCTCGAAATGTGGCTCTCGCATTAGTACCACTCGTTTTGCACAGTTGCAAAAGTGCTACTGGTTCCCATGGTTGACGTACCAGGACTTGCGTGTTGGAGCGATTCAGGACAATCCGGGCGCAGTAGTTGTGTTGATTCGCGGTGTTGAAATCCCAGGAATGGTGCCCTGGCACGGTGCAGGATCGTCAAAACGCAACCGTCAGGATGACTCGTGGCGTTGAAGTCGTGAGAGTGGTGGTTTCTGCACGGTCAGGATCTTCAAACGGTTGTCTCCTAACGGCGCACTTCCGTCAGTGGAAGTGACTCCTGGTTTGGGCCCTATGAAGAGAGAGCTTGGAGGAAGGTCTATTCCAACATCGTTGATGAGCTTTGGGCCTGCACTGGTCTGCATATTCCTCCTCCTCATCCTCCTCCTCTTCCTCCTCCCCTCCAACTGCCCCTTCCCATCCTCCTCCGATGCCTCTTACATCATCCCAATCTTGGGCACTTCGGCTTCCCAGCCCGTTTATTCCACTGTATGCCCCTCCACATCCCTGATCAGGGTAATTCACTTGGGCATCGATTCTGGAAGGGCTGGTGAGGTTACTTTTTTGTTCGCGAGCGCAAGCGGAAGAGCCGCGCGCCGTCAGGGAGGGTGAGGTTACTTCTAGTCAGCGGCCGCGGGCGAGCGCGCCGGCGGCGAGTCCAGTCAAAGTGGGGCACGCAGCGACTCAAGCAGCGGAGGGGGGCCACACCTACAGCGGCTAACTGGGGCCTCGCGCAGCAGCTCAGCGGCGGACCGGCGAGTGGAGGGGGCAGCTGAAACTGAGTCGAAGTGCCAGCGTGCAAGTATGCATAGCGTCGGAAGCACCAGGAAGCCGAAATTAATGCATGGACGCAACCCCGGACAACTGCGTGAGTACCAGGGTGGCCCGAGGGACCGTCGGTCAAAATCGAATTGGTGCCAAAACGGGGCGGCATTGGCAGGCTGCGAGAACCCAGGGTGGCCGTAGCCGCACAGTTCCAAGGCAGCAGAAGAGGGTGAGATTACGCGAAGCGTCTAGAATAGAGCGGAGTGGGAAAAACGGTATAGAACAGAACGGAAGTAAACCAGGCTGGCGCCTGATGGCAGGATTTCCAGCAGGGAGGTTGGGGCTCGAGTAGAATGTATTAGACAAGAGCAGAGTAAACATGACTTGAGTGGAGTAGGGAGCCGTTGCGAAAATAGCACACTGTATGATTGAGCAGCACGGTCATCCCAATCTGCTCGCCCAACGATAAAGTTTCACACCCGTTCGTAACCCTTCGCATCATGAAATCCCTCCATCATACCAGACATCATGGCAGACGTGAGAGCGCGCGTGCATGCGTCAAGTACTGCCGCCCGTCCATGGTCAAGGCCGCGCAAACAAATGAACACCAGCGTCGACAACCCCCATCTCCCTCGACGAACTCACCGAGAAAGACTATGTTTCTGAGACCGGGGCGTTTTGGTTTCAGATCGACCTGGGTAAGCTTAAGAGAGCCGCATCAGCTCCCAGGACGGCCCTCAGAGCGCCCGAACACAGCCCGAAGACAGGATCTGCCCACACGTGCATAATTCAACCGAGTCGCTTCGGCAGAGCTCCGTGGAACCATCTCGCCCAAGACGGGCCGCCAAGACCACCGACGGGCCTCATCGGGCCTCCATCAAGCCCCCCGGACTGTCCGAGAGTCCTTCTTAGACCGTCAAGAGTGCTTGCAAGAAGGAGGAAGAAGAGGAGGAGGAGGAGGAGGAGGAGGAAGAGGAGGAGGAGGAGGAGGAGGAGGAGGAGGAGGAGGGGGAGGAAGGGGAGGGGGAGGGGGCGGCGGAGGAGGAGGAGGACGAGGAGGAGGACGAGGAGGAGGACGACGAGGAGGACGAGGAGGACGAGGAGGAGGAGAAGAGGAGAAGAGGAGGAGGAGAATCGAGGAAGAAACAAGGAGACGAGGCTGCGGACGAGGAGGGGGTGTTCAATACCCGTGCCAATTCAAGCACGGCGCTCCACTGGAGCGGGTCTTCAACCCGGCCTCCTTCAAGCTGCTCTGCTGCGCTGGCACGGCGGCGAGGCTTGCCGCAGGCAGCTGGATCGAAACGGATGGAGATTCACAAAGTCTAAGCGGTACTTCCATGGAAAGCCCCCAAAACTGGCGGCGCGCAGAGGAGGGTAGGGCGAGGGGGGAACGCTTCTTAGAAGGAGTCTGCTTCTTCCAAGCCGACGGCATTGACGTCTGCAGACCAAGCCCGCGCCTTCTGAGACGCAGTTTCCTTCTAAGGAGTCGTCCTCCCTCCCCCCACCCCCCTCTGCGCGCCGCCAGCAACACCTAGATCATGGGAGAGGGGATGATTAAAACGAAGGGGAAAGGACAAGGACGAGCACGAAGAGGGCGACGATGGGCTCCACGGGCGGGCGGAACCCGACGGGCGGGGGGAGCGTCGGGCCAGAGCGGGCGGCCGGACCCCAACGGGCGGGTCGGGCAGGCTGAGCCTGCTTGGGGGGGGCGGACCCGGTCGCGCGGGGTGCTGCAGCGGAGGCCAATCCACAGGAAGCCTTCCACGAGAAGCCTAACCCCGAGGCCCCAGGACGTCCATCGGTGTCTTGGCGAGGGAACGCCATGCTCTCCATGGCAGCCCCATGCGAACCCAAGAAACCCAAGGCGACCTGGAGGCAAGCATTAGGTCTGTCGTGTCCACCTACAGGCGAATTGTATAAGTGTTTAAAACATTGTTTCGGGCCTGTCGGCCCCTCGGCCTGTCGGGCCCTCGTCAGCGACCAAAAAGGTGATGTTTGCAGGTTGTCTCATAGAGGCTTCGCCTCCTTTGTAGCATGGCCAGTATCTACGTGTGTAGATATCCATGTGGCGTGGCATCACTCTATGTAGGGAGCTCTAGAGGATAAAGTAAGCTGGCCCCCTTCCCCTCTCAGAGCCCTAGAATATGAGTTTTTATAACAATAGTTCCCTGGTTCGTTTTAGAAGGGGTCTGTATGGGGTGGCCGCTTCCTCCTCTCCAGCTCTGCCGATCGTCACGTTGTCACGGCACGATCTTTGGCTTGTAGTCATTTGGGCTCGAGGGATTCGAGGCTCGTGGCCAGCGCCCGCGCCTCCTCCCGAGAGCCCGCGAGCGCCCATCGCCCTCGGCGTCGGGGCGCAGCTGCGCCCAGCTGGCGCACTTCGCGCGGCCTTCGGCCGCAGGGCGGTGCCCTCAGCGCCACCACGGCGGTGTGGCGAGGCACAACGTTCTTCTGGGTGGTGTGCGTGCTCCTGGGCCTCCAGGATCGGCTGGTGCTGGACGAGGGCACTGACGTCGAGGAGGCCGCGGAGCCGCAGGTCGAGCACAACCGTGTCGAGAGCTCCCCTTGGCACCCCGACCGCGGCAGCTCGCCGTGGTACACGATGGCGTTCAAGAAGTGGAATCGGATCTACTGGCGCTCGTCGAAGGATGGCCCTACAGGCGCGGTGATTCTCGCGATGGATCGTGCGCCAGGCAAGGCGGGCGAGTGGACGGCCCTGGGCCCGGTGGGGAGGGCGCAGCTGATCAATCCCAAGGACAAAGTCCACGCCTCGACCAGGGCCAAGGCGGGCGTGGTCTACACGGACCAGAAGGGGCTGGGCGCTCATGACAAGCAAGAGGCCGAGCAGGCGAGCGCGAGGCTGATCGACAGGATCCAAGAAGCCACCAAGACAGCCCCCAAGAAGCCCGGGCCGAAGAAGGGCGGAGGCAAGCGACTCTCGCTCTTCCCGAAGTTCGGCGCGATCGAGGCGGTGACGGCTGCTGGGCTGTGGACCTGGGCTCGTCGGAGCTGGGGCCCTATGGCGGGCTCAGCCGTTGTCTTCTGGCGCCTCTGGCACTACCTGGGGGTGTACGAGTGGCTGAAGGCTGCGTATCACACGTACCAGGAGGGCCGGGAGTGGCTCGAGTACTTCGCCGACATCCAGAGCAGCATGATCGAGATGTACGAGACGGGCGAGCTGGACGTCTACCTGATCACCCTTGGCATCGGCGGCCTCGTTACGTGGGGATTGCATGCCGGCACCAGTTCGCCTGACGTGGGCTCGGACTACGACGGGTCGGACAGCGAAGACGGCGACATGCGGGCCAAGGGCACGGCGGTCTCGGACACCGACTCAGGTGAAGAGCCGACCTCCATGGGGCTGATGCGGACCATCTTGACGGGACATGAGCAGATGGCACTGCTGGCCGACCAGACCCGAGAGTTGAAGCTACTCCTCCTGGCGGTTCCTCTGGCGGCGTGCGCTTCGAGACGGACGACCGCGCGACGACTCCACGGCCCCCGAGATCGAGTCGTTCGGACACGGCAGATTCGAGGCGCGAGGAGGAGTCCATCGAGCCATCGCACCTATTGCGGAAGCTCCGAGAGCACGAGATGATAGTCGAGATGGACAGCTCACGGGCTACGAGGGAGTGGATCTTCAGCACCTTCGCCGTCCCCTTCCTCGAGCGGCGGCTTTGAGGTGGTGGGTGATCGGTTCTCGAGCGCTACGTCGGGGGCCTCCTCGCGCACTCCGCTGCAGATCCGCATCGGTGAGCTGGAGATGGAGTCCAGGAGCCCACGCGAGACGATGATCCAGGGGCTGAAGGGGTTCAACGACAAGACGGACCTCGGGCGCGTGGGGGAGACCCGCACTCGCGTCTCTCCCGAGGTTTTGACACGCCTCAACAGGAGTGGCCGCACGGCGCAGGCGGAGCTGCGCGAGTGGCTGCGCAGCAAGGAGCTCGAGAGTTGCAACGCGGCGGCGGAGGTCACGGTCATGGGCATGGTCCTCGACCGCATGCTCGAGACGGACCCGCCGGGCACGGTGATCAACTCACGATCGGCGGAGCTGATCTGCCTCCGCATCTACAGCCTGATGAAAGCGTTCGACAAAGTGCAGAGGCGCGAGGACTGGCTGCGCCCAAAGAATCAGACGGAGGCCAAGTGGCGGAGCAAGGTCGACTGGGCGCTGGCTGAGCAGTACTTCCGCCTCGACCGCTCCGAGAACGACATCGACGCGGCGGACGACGAGGTGACCGAGAAGCTCAAAAGGAAGGCGCTCTTCCAGAAGCACTTGGGGTCAGTCTCGGAGTCTGCTGCCGCGAAGGACGAGTGAAGGTCTAGCCGCCCCTTGGTGGGGGGGGCGGTTCAAAGCCGACAAACCACCCGTGCATCGGTTGAGGTCCCCTCTCGCCAGGACTCTCTTCGCGGTGCTCTGTTTGGGCGTGCTCGTCCTCGACCTTTCTACCTGGAGCAGTTGGTGTTCTACTTCGTCGTCTGTGGGTGGCAGCTCTACGCGTGCCCTCGGTCTCGAGGGCTCAGCGTTGTCCGCCCCTTTGAGCGACCACAAACGGGAGTCGGTGCTCAACTTTTTCTACTTCGACGACGGGGGACTTTTTTTGCACGCGCCCTCTCGGCCAGGTCGCGCACCAGTTCGTCGTTTAGATGTCGGGCGGGGACCAGATCAGGGAGTCTCCCAGGCTTGGTTCGGGACGACCTCGGCAGCATCGAGATCTGCTTGGAACGTTGCCGTAATTGCCGGCGAGCTGGGGCGGAGCGATCGGCGGGGAGACGAGCGAGGGCGAGCTGCGGGTCACGTGGCTGAGGTCGTGTCGGACCGCTGCTGCTCTCCGGAGTCTGAGCCGAGGCCACCTCAAGGAGCTGAAGGACTGGACCAAGGTGGCGACGGAGTGCCCCTGGAGCCAGGCCTCGTTTTTGCAGAAGGAGATCGTCAGGAGGATTTGGAAAGAGCAGAGTCGGAGAGCGACCTGGGGATCCATCGAAGACGGCAGAGCGGTTTGCGCCGCTTTGGCGAGAAGCTTCCACTTGGCTATGGGAGCGGCTCTGCCTCGGAGAGGACAAGGGGGGGGCGGCTGCAGAGGGGCGCCCTGTGCCCGCTGCACGTCAAGGAGGTCGATCTGCCTCCGAAGGGGCCCCGAGGGGTCAGCGTGAAGAAGCTGGCTGTCACGGCGAAGGCCTACCTCGAAGAGCCCGGGAGGTTGATGTTGAAGTCGGAGGGCGAGATCGACATGCAAACCTACAACAAGATCAAACCGTACGAGGCGCCGGAGCTCAAGCACGGGCAGACCAGTCTGGAGCTCGCACTGAAGATGTGGGAGTCGAACATGCTCACCTACGTGGGTGACGTGCGCGAGAAGCTGTCAGTCTTCACCGTGGTCAAGAAGGTGTCGCAGGAAAAAGCGAAGCGGGAGGTGGTGTCTCGATTGGTGTGGGATGCCCGCTGAGTCAACTTGCACTTCAAGGACCCGCCCTGGGTCCCGCTGGGCTCGCCTGCGGCGCTCGCGGAGATCGACCTCGGGCCCGACATCCAGGGGGGCCGGCAGTTCCTGACATTCCAAGGGGACGTGCCAGTGAAGCTCTACAGGCGGCAAAGTATTCCCGAACTGTACTCCTACTTTGTCTTGGATGGGGTGGATCCGTGCTCGCTCTGGGAGTTCGCGCAGCAGCGAGGCGCATCGCTGCCGCGGCCGTCAGAGGGGGCCGTCGGAATCGCCTGCACGGTCGCCCCCGCGGGCTGGAGTTGGGCGGTCCTCCTCGCGCACACCGCGCTGATGGACTGCTTCGACGACCTGGAGTCCGAGGGGGTGGGGCGCGTGGAGCACGGCAACACGGCCCCGAGCTTCGCCGAGCACCAGCTTTTGTACTGGCTCTACATCGACGACTATGGCGGAGGCCTGATCGGCGAAGGGTCGGACGACCCGAGGCTCGACGAAGTGGCAGGTCAGGCGAGGAGCGCGGCAACGGCGCGCGGTCTGGCAGTGCACAGGGAGAGCCAGGGAGTCGGTCTTACCCGGACAGCTAGGAGTCACCATCGATCCGGTCCCCCTGAGGTGTCGCGTGAAGGACGAGAAGCTGAAGGACCTGGTGCTCGCTACCGAGGCCCTGATCTTGAAGGAGGCGGCCTCGCCCGCGCTGGTCGAGGTCGTCATGGGGCACTGGGCGTGGGCCATGATGCTAGCGCGCGCGGCCTTCGCCATCCCGCCCGTCATCTACGCGTGGATCCACGCTGCGGAGGACCGCCTTCGTCCGCGGCGGCTGTGGACGGACGTGATCGCTGAGCTGCACGGCCTGGCCGCGCTCTCCGTGTTCTTCTTCTCGG